GACCACGGACCTCCTCCGCTCTGCTTCATCACCACCCTGCAGGTCGATGCACAGTCTACTACTTACCGTATGTACAATTTCTGTTCCTCTTCAGTACCATCCAACTCGACCAGTCCAGGAGTGAGTCCCAGTGTCCGCAGCCCGGTCCTCTTCTCATCATCTCCACCACTGACTGTGTTCCCATCCGAAGCTCGACACCCGGTCCCAGTGTTACTCGTCTGTTCATTTCTTGGTCACTTGTTTTACACTGTAAATAAACTTGCACTGCTTGCATCGAAGTCAGCCACCTGGGTTCGTCAACTTTTGTGACTCGCTCACTTCCGTGTTCGAGCCATCCCAACAAAAGCGATCAAATGCTCAAAACAAATGCTAATAATTATTAACACCAATGTGCATCATGTCACCTGAAGGAGTCATGTTCTCCCAGGAAACCTTCATTCATAATTTAAGCTTATAAATGTAACACTTTTGAATTAGGAGCTTCAGTATTTGGATCAAGTAGCGTGTGAGAAATATTAAATAGGCTACAGCTGTTATTTCAATGTGTCAGACACATATTTAATCATTATCTGAATAAATAAAACAATCAGATCAGACTTGGTATCGGCAGATACTTGATGTTCAGATGACTCGGATCAGGGCCAAGAAATGTCCCTCATAGTGTAAATACATCTGTCATAAAAACCTGTCAACACCCTGGGAAAGAGAGAGAGAGAGACTAAAGCGATTACCGCCTCCTAAACCGTTACACTGAACGACAAACAACTAACCACTTGCAGTGTTGCTTCAGCATGTGGAGACATCCAAAGCTAGACAAGTGAGGCGTTTACTGAAAAGTCAGTTATGTGCTTCTGAGACTTGTATTCAGTGTACTGTAGTGTATAGTGGCTTGAGTTCATCAGTTTTCCCCACAGATGATCTACAGCAGCAGGAACCAAACACCCTGATGCTGCCATTCTGGACTTGGAATTAAATTGAATCTTCCTACAGCTTAAAAACAAAGTAGCACCGCTGTTTATTGATGCCTTAGATCTTCTGAAAGGAGCAGATTCTCCAGCTGCAGAGCTGCCGTGCAGGTCACCTGATCCAGCTGCCTTTGATAGCCGTCTATGACTCACGGTGCTGCAGTGATGTGTCAGTAGAGGATGCAGGCACTGGGCTGAACTACAGTAATCCTGAGAGAGAGCAGGGAGAACAGTCGCTCTCCAAGTTGCTGACAAAGTCTCTGTCAGCTTGGCTAACAGCGATATGGAGGGGGTGACCGTGCATGTGTGGAGATAGAGACTAGGATAAAACCAGCTGCCGTTTCCAATCAAAAAAACTAAATCAGGTGCTCAAACGTTAACACAGACTCACACCACTACATCTTTAGGTGTAATCTATCGTTGCTTCATTCGCCCACTTGACTCGCCAAAGCCGAACTGTAAAAAGAATGTCCAATCATTTTCGGGGTGCTTTTAACACCCCTGTCTTAGCCAGAGAGCACACCATCTAAAGTGGATTAGAGCGTGGCAGCCGACGAGCTAGAACTTCACTCTGCTGTGTGTGTGTGTCTCTCCCTCGAAGTGTCACAGTAGATCTTATTGCACTGCAGCAGCCGCAGGTGCAAGAAACAGGAGGTCAAAGTGCAAACCAGACAGAGGCCAAATGCCGTTCCAGTTTTAGCCGCTCTCCTCTGCCTCTCTCCGCTCCTCCTTCCTCTGAGTCTCCATCCTTGGAAAGGGTTTTATACTCTGGCTGAGTGCACTTTATCTGATGAGCCAGTTGGGAGAGGTGACTAAGATATTGTACACAGCTACACTATGAATCAACCAATCAATCACCCACACAGTCAATCAATCAATGGAACACATAGTCAACTGTTTTGATATTTGCTGCATAAGCTTTGGCACCGCAGAGGGAGAAATGGCTCTAAAAAGAAACATCATCTAATCAGAGACATTTAATTCTCAGTGACGCACACACTCGCTCACAGCACAGTGTTGAACTCCGCTATGAGCCAACTCCACACACTGATGGTATACAGCATCCTCTGTCATAGCTGCAGGCAGTTTAGAAGAAATGAATGTAGTTCAGTCTTTCACCAACATGAAATGATGATAAATCTTTGTAATTAAAATAAAAGGCTTGTGATATTCTATATATTTCTTATTGTCAACAAAAAACATGAAAAACCAACAAAGAATTAATCCTCACAAGTATTGGCAGTATAGCCAAAGCCTGATATACTGTAGCTTATTCATTTGTGCCACTGATCTACAGTATGTTGTCATCCAAAACACACAGATCCACTGCTGAAAGTAGTCCCTCTTGTTTTGTGGCCCGATTTTAAATACATACACCCACTAGACATAACATTATGACCACTGACAGCTGTGATGGCTGACGACTGGGTCAGAGCATCTCCCAGAGTGAAACGAGTGCCAACTGACTGCCACATTGACAGCCACATTGACTCCAGTCTACACAGTGTTAGGCAGGTGGTCATAATGATATGGCTGATTAGTTTTGAGGCTCCAGAGGGAACAAATGGACTTGGAACTAAATGGACTGACACAGTGTTGGTCTTTTCATGGGAATTATTTAGGTTAAGAATAGTACAGAACAACATTATCCTTATCCTTCAAACATAAAGCCAAAGAAAAATGTTTAAAAGAGAGCAAAATGAACATGAATGCTGACTCCACTGTGTTGTCGAAACTTGTTTAGATTTGCAGCCCAGGTTCAGGATGGCCATGATGCAACAACTGGAGCAATCTCAGCTCAAGCTTGTAGGCAGATACACAATCCGACATCGAGTAAGAAACACTTCTATTCAATTCCTGCACGTTTCCTTCTTCGCTGAATTCTAGACACCAATTATTTGGTATGCATGTCAACTTCCACTGAAGATGGGAAGCAAACCAGCCTGTCTGGGCAATCACATTAGCACTTACATCATGTTAACTGAATGCAGGAGAAGCAGAGAGAAAACGAGATCTACAGTATCCTCAATTATCCTCTTACATCCAGTAAATCTGTTACATGACCAGGCAGGGGGGGAAAAAAAAAGCTAAACCAGATGAGCGGCTGCATAATGTCTGCCGATACTCGTCCTTGAGGCATTTATCAAGTTTTGCTGTTTCTACATGAGGGAATTTGAGACAGTTGGAGAGCAGAGGAGAGCGGAGGAAAGAAGAAGAAACCAGTCGTGGCTCATTGTCATGCTTAATCTCCAGGTCAATGACACCATCACCATGCCAACCCTTGCTATTGCCATGGAAACCAGCTTTATTACATCGACAGGTTAGAAGAAAGCCCCCCTCACCTCAGGTGTGGTGTGCTGTGTGTGTATGTTTGGGTGTGTGTCCACACACCCACCTGTCTTTAATCAGTCGCGCCCTTTCAAAGACACATGCTGCGGTCGATTGTGGCTCCTGACACGTCCAGTAAGAAGCTGATTATTTAACAGTTCATTCAAGAAGAACTATATTTCCACACTATGTAATGAGATGGACTATAATATTTTCTAAGTATGAAACACTGAGATTTCTAATTTCCAGTAATAAGGCTGAGATGAAGAGTCTTCTCATATCAGAAATATATAAAAGAGTGATTGATTAGACTAGATATCAAAGCTTTTTTGTGGAACTTCTCAGCCCTGAATGATTCCTGGGCGTAAATGAGGAGAGTATTAAGAGGTTTCCAGTCGTTGCAAAGACGAAGGAAAGGGAAAGCACAGGAGAGATGGGTTTCCTTGAGCCGCACACACAAGCTTACACACACAATTTGAAACCTACATTATGCAGAAACAATGAGATGCTAAATTTTGTTGATGCTTTCCCTGTTCTCTCATATACAGTATGTCTAGGTCTATCGCCCTGTAAAAATAGGCAACGGTACTCTGGAGACAGCAACCCAAACTGTCATCCAACCCAACGGGGCCGTCCGGCCTGTGTGGCAACAACGGTGATCCGGGCTGCGGGGACCACAGCAGCTGGTTCTGACATGTCTGAACGGGATTTAACTATGTGGAGCTATTGTGGGCTCCTCAGCACAGAATCCTACATCCCCCACTGATAGCGAACCAGTAGAACATGCCATTAAACACCTAACCAGTCAGATGGGTAGGACGTGCACCACAGATACATGAAACACACTCATACACATCGTATGTGTGTGAACATTCTGTACCACCCCAAATGATTTTCAGAGATGCTGTGTTTGTACGTGGCTGTGTGGGTGTGAGTTTGAAAGCAGGAAAACAGAAGAATCAGAGGGAGAAAGAACAAAGGGCTGTGTGTGTACCTGAACGCATGTGTATCTACTTTCACTCAGTGTGTTGTGGGGGATTGCTTGGGGTCAGTCGGGGTTAAGATGGTGAAATTGCAGCAGGGACAGAGGGCAGCGAGGCTGATAGGAATGAACGAAACCAGTGCAGCATGTACAACACTACACCAAAGCAGCAGCACAAAAGGGGGAGGCTGTGTCATTTCTTTTTACCTCAGACTTGATCATTTCAGCCCAGTTTAGCTCGACTAAACTCATATTTTACAGCCTGGTACCAGTACCGCAATGTCGCAATGGGCCTCAGAGGCCGTCACGCCAAATTTCACGACACAGTCTAAAACTTTTGACATGAGGGCAAAAAAGTAATCAGCAGAAAAATCTTAACCTCCTAGTCAACCAACAATAACTGTTCAAAGTGCAGGGGCCAATCCCAAAGTACCCAGACAATATCTGTAACAAATACTCCTATATTGTTGCAATATTACAGCACATAGAGAAAGACAGAGATTGGTCTCACAGTAAAGTAAAGAAGAAGGTTGTGTATTTTACAGCCCACAAACTGATGGAAAACAAAACATGTGACGTGCTCTACTCGCTGCAACACATATCCAACGCACCCTTTGGTAGAGGGCGGTCTACTCAGTGCAACATCTTGAAAGACATGCGGCTCTGCTGGATTCCAACACATGCAACAAAGATGACAACAGTATCTTTGAAAATGATTTTGGAAGGTCAGAAGCAAAATCAGTTATCTATCATAAAATAAATGGCATCATGGCAGGAAATATGCAATAAGGACTATCTTTATCCCATAGGTAGAGAGTTATAAAATCCAAAAATCTGTCAGAGTGAGAAACAATCAGAGTGACTTTTTCTAGGATAAGATTAGGACACACAGGACCTAATTCGACTTGATTCTGCACGGAAAAAAGAGATTCAGAGAAATGAATTGGAGAGTCTGAAGAATACGGTGGTAGGTTTGGGAAGGGATTGGAAAATGAAGGGCTTGCTGGAAATAAGGGATAAACAGCTGCTAGTGCAGAGAGAAATATTTAAAGGAAACTGTTATGGTTTGTGGACTTGCTTCCTATTTGGTGCTTTTATTTTGGCTAGCTTCCTGTCTTGTGTGACCTCACCTGCTCCAGCTTTACCCTGGTTCATAATTACTGTTGATTGCTTCCACCTGCTGCTCATTAGCCTGTGGTCTCCTGCCTTTATATACTCCTTCCTTTGCTTCGGTCTTTGTTCACCACACCCTGTCAGTTTGTGTGCTGTCTAAATTTGTATCTGCCTCAGGTTTGTTTGGTTTGTCTTTTGGTTTTTTGTAGTGATGGTGAGATGAAGCTTCCTGAAGCATTGAAGCCTTCCAGCCATCTGGGCTCTGCTGGGCTGATGTAGGCGTGTGCTTGTAGAGAAGTTGGGAGTTATGTGAGTCCTGTGGAAATGCATATTTTATATTAGATTAAAACCAGTATGATAGTTCCTGTGGCGTCTGAAGCACTTGTACCTGACAAGAGTTTTTTTTTTTTTTTTTTTTCCAGCCTGGCTGCTGTCATACCCATAATGCATTGCCTTTCCCTCTGATCTCTCACCTCAATTTCAGCCTCTAAAAACAGATTTCTTCCATTTGAATAATTCACCATGTTGCCTCCTCTCTCCACCCCTGTCTTCATCCTTTCCTTTCCTCATGGCTAACTTTTTCCTTTTTTTGTGGTCTGAAATGTCAGCATTAATTACACGTCACGCCGCTCTCCCTACTTGCAGAGATCTTCACATTACTCATTCATTGAAGTGCAATTTTAGATTGGAATAGATTGTCGGTGCTTTACAATATGCTGGCCCAAGATGCTTTCTTCTTGTTTGCACTCAGCAAAAATGACATTTGTGAAGTCATCTTGTGTTTGTTACTGCACATGGTGTTTGTTTTTGTTTTTTTTACTCTCAAAAGCGAGGATGGCCTCTCTCACTGTGCATGTTACAATGGAGATAAAAGATGAGTAAATCTGTGCCCACTGTCAAACAGAGTAGGCACACTGCTTGGCCGCATACAATAGGATTTTATGTTTCATTCACATTTTTCAAATGTGACCAAGCCAGGACTTTCAAAGCTTGGACAGGTCTGTAAGAAAATGTGATTTCACCCCTGTTAGGTGGTTTCACAGTCCTATTGGAGCTTCAGAAGCAGGGGACCCTGGGAACAACCCAGTTTAAATGCCATATCAGAGGCATGTAATGAGGCAGAGAGGGATGACGCAGGCGGGGAGGAAGCAGACGCTGATGTGACAGATCTGCTACTTGTCATGTAAAGTGTGATGTAGGCTTAAATCACAGCCAAACAGACACAATCATTACACTTCCAACTGTAGCTGTGACCTATGCGGTGTGTAATGCTCACAACAAAACAAGGTCCCGCTGAGGTTTTCAGACATTCCTCCAGGAGCTTCATTCGGAGTCGCTGTAGCTCTGGACTGTCCCACTCCTCTGGATCTACACCCCAGTACAGGTCCACCACCTGAACACACAAACAGAAGCCAAGTCTTATGTTACTGTATTTTAATAAGAGGGGGGAAAATAACATGTAGGTATTATGGCTAATGTTTATTAGCATTTGTGTCCTGCATTGTAAACATAAGGGTTTCTGGTTTTTAGTGCAATAGAAAAGCATCAATAGCACAACCATCGCTCACAAAACTACAGGCAAGTTGATTTTATTTTAAAACGGGATTATATACTTACTGCTTCAGAGGGAATTTGCTGTTGCAGGACAGCACTTTAAGACACATTTTAGGCTTCTGCTAAACAGCCTTTTCTTATATTTATGCTGTTTTTTATAGGAACTTTAAAACGTGCAAACAGGTCAGTTCATTACAATCAAATAGAGGGTGGTTAGTTTTTATGCAGACCTTGAAACATTATGAACTTGGCTGAGAAGCACTGTATTTAAGGGAACCTAAGGAAAAACTGATGCCAAGTGCTAGGTTTTACAAAAAGAAGAACTTAATTACACAAAGGCAAAACGACTGAATGAGGATCAATAGGCTTAAACTCTAAAAGCCCAATTGAACCGATGCCATATCTGTTCAACACATACACAAACCTGGGGGCTATTCCAGAAAGCAGGTTTAAAAAAAAAAACCTCTATTTGAGGAAAAAGATCACCATCCTTGCATTGATGAGTGAGTGATCACAAAAGGCTTTGGCTTACAAATTAATACTCAACCAGGATTTGATCTGCTCCAGATATGAACTTTTGCAGATTAATGTGCTCTGATACATCGATGAGGAAATGAAGCTGGTGAAGTCAGACGGCTTCTTCGCACTTGGCTGGAGAGGACGACACAGAGGAACACCTGCCAGCCTAGATTACTGCCATAACTCACTTGGAGTTGGTCTTAGTTTCAGGAACTAACAAACTCGGTTTTCACCTGCTTTCTGCAGTACCCTCCTGCTCTGTGTGAATGAACACACACATATGCAACAGAGGGGGTGTCCCCTCAACACTTGTCGCAGGTGTTGGCAGCTCACAGGGGGAATCTAACCCGCAGCAGAGAAGAGTGAGGAGTCTCCTCTAAATGTGTGGCCACACTGCTGCTTGGACTTGCCCACAAAGGCAACATGCAGCCTCCTGGGTCTCGGATAGCTTTTAGTTGGCCAGCGAGCTCCTGATATATGGCTTACAATAAAAGATGCATTAGGCCTGATGGCCTTTGGTGCTTGAAGGCTCAGGTTTTAGTCCCTAAAATATATAATATCACTTAATTAGTCTCTTCTTCTTCTCTCATTGATTCTGCTGGTCTTTCTGTGTTAGAGTGGAAGGTTTTGCAGGGGGATGAGATGAAAACATGGTGATTCACCAGCCCACTTCCCTCGTTCTCTGCTACTCAACACACTAGCTCTAATGAGTGTAGCCTGGCACGGTGACTGACACGTCTGCAGAGAAAGCAGTGACTGTCAGGCCCGTGTAACAAGACAGTGCAGAAATTGAGAATGTGAGACTTTCCTTTGACAGTCTGAAGACATTTTCCTCTCCCATCACTGGTGGGAGCAGCAGCAGGGCTGAGGCTACAGCTTAGCTCATCTGCTTGATTGTTGTTGTGCACCTGTGAGCAGCTGTGTGACTGTGGAAGGAGCCAGCTGTCAACTAGCTGTAACAGTCAGTCCAGTGGCTTCTTTCCTGTTTGCCCTCTAACACCTTCAAAGTTGTGTAGTTATGCTGCTCTCATTCCCAAGTTGTGGCCACTTCAGACAATACATCATTACTTTAAAGTAGTTAAAGTAATGATGTATCAAAATATAACTTCCCATACAATATTACAACAATTCAAATTTGTGTAGGGTCATGGGCCAGAGTCTCTTTCCTATGATTAATCATTTAGCCTAAAATGTCCTGGGCAGAAAATAAGAAATGACAACTGAAAACTCCAACCACTAGTCCATGACTTAACTATCCGGTTTACTGTTACACAAGCAAAAGCAGGAAATACTTGCACTGGGAGCATTTGGGATGTTTGCATGTTAGAAAAGGCTGCTATTCTATAACTTGACAAGTAGTTTCAGCTCTAGATGATTTAGAAAATGTTCTTAATAGTCGACTAAAATGGTTAATTTATCATAAAAAATGGTTGGAGACTGTTTCTGTGTACAGACTAATTGTTTTGGCATTAATGACGTGTGAATGTGGGATAAGGCTGATTATCCCACTGTCCTTTCACTCTGGAAAAGTCTTTCCCACTCACTGGCTGTGCACATGATAATTATCCCATCATGTTGACCTGTTGTGCAAAGCTCATTGTTTAGCACGTCAGTCACTGTGTATCCGTGTCAGTAATCGACTTCCAACACACGTGTGGGAGACTTGTGTTGACGAGGACCAAGGTTTGAAGTGAGGTGAACTAGGTTTCCACTGGTTTCAGCAGGTGTTTGGGAGGGTGCACAGTAATTAAGAGCCAAATGAAGACAGTCATATCTATTGCCTGTGTGTGTGTGTGTGTGTGTGTGTATGAGGAGGATACACAGATTGAACTGACCCACTGTGCTTTGCTAGAGTATGAAGGAGAAAAGGAGAGACCAACAGTCAGGGAATGTTTACCCAAAATAGGCAAAGGGACACAAATAGAGTTAAGAGGGAAAATGTTTGGGCAAGAGATTAGTACAGAGGGTTTTTACCGAAGGAAGCATAGTTGGAATAAAACACTCCTGTGAGACTGGATTTGGCTGGAACTGTTTCACAGCTTCCTTGTGTCTTTTCACCCTCCTCTTCTTTTTCCACCAGCCAACTTTGTCAATGCTGCTGCTCTTTGTCTGATTACATCCCGCTCCCTAAACTGTGGTAGCGGGGCTGCCATTGCTTAGAGCCGAAGATGCTTCTGCTAAGCAGCTTTCTAATGCCCCTAGAAGGCGTTTGCCCATGGTGGGTCAGGTGCAGGAGAAGCTGGTTTCATTTATTGAATGCCAAACTATTTGATTTTGGGATTCAGGAAGAAAGAACCTAAATGCAGATACAGCACCAACATAAACATATCTTAAGCTCCCAAATGCAGGCGATTTCATTAAGAACATGTTGTAAATCTCTAAGAATGTTTGAATACAGCTTGCTTTGTCGCTGCAGAGAGTGCGGGTTTAGCAGTGAAACTGTGGGACAGAGCCTTTAATGTTACATATATTAATGCCGTGTTTTACTGATTTCAGAAGACCACCTGATATGATGAGAGGTCGGGAATCTAATAAGTTGATTCCAGTTGTCAATGAGTGCTGAGAGGACACTTCAGCGTATTTGAAAGAAAACGTGTTGTGTTCTAACACAATGTGGTGAATATGGCACAGTGGGGTTAAGAGTAGTGAGATCACATGACTTATGGTGACTCTAATAAAGCATCAGCACAGAGGGGGCAGGCCTTCAGGAAAACTGCTCAGGAGCATCGATACATCTCAAGGCAAAGTCCGTGGCCGCTGCTTTAAGGCTTGCATATGAGCCTGGATTTTTTTTAGAGGATGAGGAAGCAATCTTAATGTGAAGTGAGCTTTGTTTGTTTAATGACGTCCATGCCTGATGGAGAAGCTTGAGAACTAAATGGAAGCAGGTAGAACCTGGAAGCCCTCAATCTAATGAGTAAACTTACAATGAAAAACTAATCAGTGCACTGACCAGTGCAGGTGTATTGTGGAGTGTTTAAGAAAATATATTTAGCTGGCCAGACTTGTGCACCGCACCAATTGAGAATAATTTGGCACCTTTTTGGCTGAGATTTTAAGTTTGTGAAGCCAATTCGTGAAATGGCTTCATGTTTCCAGCCCGCTAGTGTCCGTTGTTTTGTTAGCCACCAATGTAGAGGTGGCTACGTTAGCAGCATGTTCTACCACCAGTGTGTCAGCATTGATTTTTAAAAAATAAGTAAATAAATCACTGTGTAACATCCCCTACTCTAGCAATGGAAATTTACAGTCACCAGAAACGGTTAAATTAAAATACACTGTTTTCAGGTCAATGTGTGTATATCCTGGGGCACACAGGCTATCTTGCATTTTAACAAAGCATAATCCAGACAGCATTTACTTTACAAGTTAACTCTAATGGTGTAAACACACTGCTTTCACTGAGGAAACTGGTTTCTCTGACTGAGTCTGTTCATTTCTCTAATCAGAGAACCACTGCCTGCAGTATATCATTTGGGTAACATCACTCTCTTTCAGCCAGTGAATTAACTGCAGGTGGAGTCTCTGAGTTAATGTGACCACTGTGTACAACAAGGTTGAAGTGAACTAAGCCAGGAGAAAAAGTGTTGGTATTACTAGAAGCTACTCAGAAAACACACTATTCCTCAGTTTATTTACTCTCAAGGATCGCTGATAACACTTTGGTACATTGATGGAATTTTTTTATTTAAATATGCTCATTCATCATTGAGAATCCTGTTGGTTTCATAGTTATAAATAAAAACACTTCTGTCCATTAAATTTTGTAGAAATATGTTCGTATTTCCTGAGCGCTCCCGTTGACAACAGATAAACTCTGTTGCTGAAACATAACTTTCATGGTGACAGAAAAACATCCTCTTTACAGAATGAAGAATTTTTGGGATTTTCAAGTTTTTTTTTTGTAGTGAGTCTAAAAGTTCGAGATTTCCTGTCATATAATGGAGAAGATTAGCTGTCAGTAAAAGCTATTTAAGAGCTTGTGAGGACTAAAAAATAAGCTTTTAAAGTTAAGAGTGGGCGACTTAATAACACTGTCTTTTCTGAGAAAGCCACAATGGCAGGTGTATCCTCCGTCTTTCAAAAAGTGCAAGCACGACAATCTACATGAATAAGCTTTTGTAAAATCAGTGTGAAATGTCATCTCACCCTGTGTTTTAGTCTCCCATCTTGTTGTTTGTGTTGTGAGTTGTAACTGTCTTGAGTGACAGCTGCTGAACACTTTCACACATCTGTGGTCAGGAAACTTTTATTATAATTGCACTCTCTGTGTGTGTGTGATGGCCAGTGAGTATGGCAACCACAGAGAGGTCCGCCTACATTATTAACAGAGCTGCTTCCACCATGTGGGAGAAAGTCGCTTTTTGACGAGATGATTTGAGTCTCAAGATGGTTTAAGATGATGGAACCTGGGATTTTAGAGCTCTGCCAGATGAGACGTACACATTTCCACAATAAAAATGAGACTAAAGACTAATCCATGTTCCACCAATACTACTTTCTGAGAATCCCCTGCAATAACACTTACAAAGAATTTTACTTTTCGACTGCTCTTCCACAGTAAATATGTCAAGCAGATCTTGCTTCATGTTAAACCTTTAGTCTTCTCTTGTGTCGAACAGTTAGCCTACCTTTGTTTATATAAATGGGATGGACAAAACAATATTAAACACCTCTCGATGTAACGCAGTTTGCTTCACAAAGTTTTTAATTTATTTGATATAAAAAGGGGTGTCATTTGGATGATTTGACAACTTTGATTGGTGGTCCAATGCTGTCACGCAACAACTCAGCCACCACTGCACAGGATATGCTTGCAAAGTGCCAAGATGGCAGCTGCCGTAGTTGCGCTATCTTAGCTTCATTTCGGCACAGTGGAGGGAAGTGGTGATGTGTTGTCTGTATTTATGCAGTCAATAGATCAAACCATTAATAAGTGATACACCTGATGGGCCCAATAACAGGCAATACTAAGCATAAAATTGTATTCAAAGAAAGATGCCAAGTCCAATACGACTAAATGTGAGAATAATTACACCAAGTCAACCAAGACAAACCCAGACAGCGAACATCATCACTGGCAGCAGCATGATGTGCCACCAGTCAATAACCAGCCGGAGTAAGAAAGAGCAATAATAATCCTCATGTCTATTTCGGTGCCAGACCCCGCATCAGCAGCAGTGCAATAGGACCCTACCTGAGCTGATTCGATTAAATTTTCATTTGGACTTGGGCTCTGTCAGCTGGGTCTGATTTCAGACTAGTGTTTTGAGACAAAACAAACAGGGTGCCACCACATCACCACGAAGCCCAATATACAAATCTGATGGTGAATTTGTCAATATACTATGTGAGTGTCTAATAACACCATATGGTTGGACACTGGATATTTGGATTCCGCTAACTAAAGCCATATTAGAGCAAGCCAAACCTCACACAGGGCAACAGTAATCGAGTGGCTACTTGGGCTGCCCCCTAAAAGTCACTGAGTTGACTCTTACTTTGTCAGTCGAGTCTGAACTTTCTATTTTGCTACATCGCTGTACACAGAGCAATGCAGGAGCTTAAAATAAAAGGCCATACTACGAAGCTAACTGATGGAAACAGTGACGGCTCATTGGTTAGAGAACAGCCCTAGCATGTGGTGAAAACCTGTCTGACCTTGATGCTGTCTCTGGCATCACTCCTCTGTTTCCACTCTGCATCCTTCTGTATGTCTGTTTTGTGTCATTTATTTAAACAACAAGTGTTGAGAGAGATCAGGAAACAGGGAGCACAGATCCAGATCCCCGACTGCTGCTGTGTACTGACTGAATGAGGATGCAGCCCTCAGCCCCTTGGCTGGATGTCCACGCCCTCTTCCACCCTCTGTTCCTCTATCCATCTCTCTCCAGTCTCTTAAAGGAAGGTTCTTGATAGAAACTGATGTGGGTCCAGGGAGAACTGGGTTTCATCAGTTTGGCATATGTGTATCGGTGCGTACCAGCGGATGTGTGTGAGAGACAGCGAGTGTGTGTAAGGGGAGGCGGGATCGCACATAAATTACAAATCAAAGCACAACATGAATGCAAGTAGAAAAAAAACAGCTACACATGCTACAAGATACCGTACACAGATACCATATATAATTTAACACGTAAAAAAATTTACTCAACCAAAACATTAAACTCACTACTGATCTCCAGGAAACTGATTTTTAGCTAAGGTGCTAAGTAAATCTCACATGGCGTGGGTGAGGATGAGGAGTGAGGGGTTTGGGTGGAGGAGGAGGAGCAGGAGGAGGAGGAGGATGGGAGTAAGTGAGTCATCATAGTATTAACTCCCGGGCCTTCTGCATAATCATGTCAGCTCACGCTTCATCACAGCGAGCTGAATCACCAGACAGACACGTGGCCTCGGATCCCGGAGCCAGAATGTCTCTGCCTGCCTTTTCCTGCATTATCTCGCGCTTCTCACTCACACGCAGCGGCGGTGTTTATCTCGTTTTCTACGTTAAACCACGCAAAGTTACTTTACCTGCTGCAGGTGCAACACGTACACTATATTTGAAGCTTCTCGTTAAGAATCATCCAGGCATTAAATCTGTAGAGACCGCGTCTGGTTGGCCTGTATGTTGTTTTGGAGGTTTACAATGGCTGACAGATGATCTGTGGCTATCTTCAGTCTTTTTGTCCATATTGACAAATACTAAATGGTTTTGAAGTAAAACCAGTTTGAAATTTCTTGCTAATGTTTTATGTTACAGGTCCATGATTTGCTTGGTTCTTTATTTCCTATAAAGAATAAAACAGTTTGGCATTAATTACAGAAAAACACTGAAGGTTCTGTGACAGAATTTTTTTTTAGTTGTTGTTGTATTGAACATATTAAAGAAATAACTCAATTTAAACTCCAGTTAATATTTACTATGTTATTTGAAATGCTATTCTTCAGCTATGTTGAACTGTGATTGATTGTACAGAATTTTCCTCAATGTAGTGCTAGCTTAGCATTTACGGTAGAAATGAACTGCGGCATATGGTTATTTTCGGAAATTATCTGGTAATAAACTCGAATTTACAGACGGATTGTAGAATTCCGGAGCATCTGTTCCAGATGTGTACAGTGTTTGATATGGTGGACTGGAGCTAAGTGGGGCTAAGACTCACAAAAATAAATTAGGGTGAAATGTGATCACTGCACAACAATGATTTCATGCAAGCAAAGGAATCTGTCATTTCCTCCTGAATGGTCTAAGAATATGGTGTTTTTGATGCCCCCGGTCATGATTATATTGCTGTTATATTAGCTAATGCTAACACATGTAAAAAATACTCAGATCATTTAGACTTAAAACGACCCCTATCACGCTGCAGCCCTCATGTCCCCTTCACAACTCATTCAATCAGGCTGCCATCGTAACAATCCTCTGTCCAGGGCAAATATTTTCAGAAAGTGATTCCACATTGCTGTTTCATATCCAGCCACACTCTTAGTGCATAATTTAATCTACAGTATGTGTACTGTGTCTTTTTACCTCTTAATTTCTTTATGCTAACCCTGATCTAATTCTTACCCTAAGGAAGCCATAATAATTCATTTATGAGATATGCCTGTTTGTAGCATCCTCAATAGGCTCCAAATAACTGGTTTTGCAAAACTACAGAACCAAAGTTGATAATCAGAATCACTAAAAATCTGAACAATACCCAGCTTTGTAAACAACTGGACAGTCCTTGAGGACACAGTGGAGGTATTCTCAATACTTTTGTATTATGTTGGTATAGATGTACTGTATGTTGCTCGGAGCTATTTATGATCCAAACATTCTCAGCATGAAATGAGAATTCGCTGCTGACATCCCGCTGACTGCAGCTTACGAAACACTTCAGGGGTCACCGGTCCCTGCATCAGACAAAATCTCCACAATCTAGGCAGAAATCTCCCCCTGACTCGAGGGCTCCCGTGGATTTGTTAAACAAACAACCCTCTGGTAGCAATCGTTCCATGTACACAGACGCTGATTTGCAATGCAAATGATCTTGATCGGTGGATGCTACAGAGAGAGTGCAGCAATACTCTGACAATAACAAAGGGAGAACCCTCACGTCACGCTGCCTTATCCTCAGTAAGATTTGTGCCAGCCTTCCCCGAAGGAAGTCTTATCTCTGCTGGCCTTCTGGCTGCTTAAAGGGACAGAGACCTCTGCATGGAGCTCAGGGGGCCCCTCCGGGCACCGACGCCTGTGTAGCCACAGTGTTGCATTTGGAGGCATTTAACAGTCGGCTCAGGAAGTTATAGGTCTCTGGAGTCAATGGAAGGCTAAAAAAAGGAGCTGGTTACCTGGAATTCAATGCCATAGTTCTCCCTGCAGAAGTCTCGTAGTTTGGGGTAGACGTGTTCTTTCAGTGCGTTCCTCTCTGCTTCTGTGTCTGGAAACAAAAGCAAAAGGGGATCTTAAAATAGTCTGCTGGCAGAGGCAAACTTTGAGTCACTTATTTTAAAAGCTTTTATTAGACGTACAATGGAGATCATTAAAGGAACAGTTCAACAAATAACTGTATTTCCCAGAAGAAACCAGCCACTTTTGACATTGGTATATTTTTGAGAGTTAAGAAATATGTTCTACCTGAAAGTTTATTATGTATAAAAACATACAGCCTGGAAATTTATCTTAAAAAAATTAAAAGTAGGGTCTAAAATCAGTGTCCTCATTCAGATAAATCATTAACAGGATTAAATATCTCTAGATTTCAACCCTTTTCCTTTAAGAGCACCAGTGTGTTTACACCACTTGCTATTTTCTAAACAAAATGAAAATACAGTTCACTGATTTCCCCTATTCTCACTGCTGGAGAGAAGCTTGCTTCCTCTTTTTTTTTTAACAATTTAAAACTCAATTCATTGTCATTCTTCACTGTGGCTTATTATTTCCATTATGTGCTAATCTGCGGATTCTTTTCTCAGTTATTCAGTTAGTAGTTTTGTCTATAAAACTCCAGAGAATAGTGAAAATTGCTCATAACCATTTCCCAGATAGTCTGACATCTTCAGATTGCTTATTTTGTTTGAGCAAAACCCTTAAGTATTCAGGAAACTCTTGTGTGACAAAAAGCAGCAGCAAATATCTGATATTTGCTTAAGTGATGATTAGTTGGTCATCAAAAGCACTGTTTCACCTCTAATATGGTTCATGGCAATATTAAAGGCATATAAATATTTCTAAATATGCTCTTCACACCCTTAAAAATATGGTGACCTGGAAGAGCCAGTGCTGACACATACTGTTAAACGATGTGAGATTACACAAAGTGAACATACTGGACAGTCTGAGTCACAGAGTGAGTGCCCACGGCCTGTTGCTGTGTCCCACTTTCTTTCCTCCTCTCCTCGCTTTTCCACTGTCGTCAAAATAGTTACTGTAATTTATTCGGACAGGCTCACTCTCTTCCTCCCTCCCTTCTTCTGAAGGGTGTGGAGGGATGGTTAAAAACAGAACATGCCCAGCAGAGAGAGCGCTGTGTGGCCGAGTAGCCGACATCCACACATGGTGGGCAATGCACAAACATCCCCTCGGCCGCTGACCGTGTCACACACAGCGTGAGTTGGAAAGCCCACAAATTTAGCCTGGCGTGTCTTTCCCTCGTCTATCTTTAGTAAGGCTCCAGGCCATGACCATACATGTACCCCCCCCCAGACTGCTACCCCAGCAAAATGTCAAATCAAAACCCAGTGCCTCTAATAGTATGCAAATGAAATAAATGGCAGTTGCTGCATCAGTGGTGCTCTCATCTCATCCCATCAGAAATGCATTACAGTACAGTAAATGTATATCTCCCCGTCGTGACACAGGTGACATCACAGCTGCAAATATAGCAGCATTAATGGAATTTAGATTAAACCTGTTACTGTGTTTGGGAAGTGTTGTTAGGTACAAACCAAATTTGAGTCTCGATGCAAGCCGACAGTCTAAACCGTGTTGTTGTTTGTATTGTGCTGATAACAGCAAGAAGCCTCTCGCTCTTTTATTTTTTTGTGGGATGATGACTTGTGGCAGCCTGATGTGCACAGTATGTGCGTCTGCTGCGTACACACCCACATGCAAAGAAACAAAGCCTGGATGTTACATTCGCCCTTTTTCTCGCTGTGTCCCTCCCTCCAATTTCCCAGTCTGCTTATTGTGCCGACTGATCTGTCTTTTCTCTGGCGTGTCCTGTCAGCTCTCCTTTTCTTCCTTCTTCACTTCTTTTCTCCTTTCTCTTTGTCTTTTAGGGAAACTCACGGGCGGCCAGTTGAACAGAGAAATGTAGCCTGATGTCCTTCACTCTTGTCATTCTATTTCTGCTTTCTGTCTCACTCACATACCTTATTATTTGTATATAAAATATAAAGATGATTTTCAAAAAGCAGATCAGAAGTTTCACAGGTCTAAAATGATATCAGATTAAAAACAGAAGTGGGAAACCATGTCTGAGAAGCTGCAACCAGTGAATATTTGGCTTTTGCGCTTTATATATCATTTCAGCATGTGCATGTTCCACCTAAAGGCTTTTTACAACACTTTCATTAGTTAGACTGACATTTCTTCAGCTGGTTCTTCACTTTACATCTGCCCTTTCTGAGTCTCATCAACCAGGCTATGACAAAACCATCACTTGGATCTCCTCGAGCTCCACCAACTGACACTCCAGAGGCACTTGCTGCACAATAGCCTGGAGATCACTGATTAGGACGAAGTGGGAGAGTGTGCAGCTCAATACTGTGACACTACAGTCATCCATAGTGTTGCCGGTATGTGTATCTGGGGGGCTTAAAGGGTTGGTTCATCAGTTTAGAGAGACGTCTGCTTCGACTACAATACAACAGAGGTTAAATGACTTGGATATAGGACTAATGAACACATCTGTTCCTGCATTACTTATGGCAAACTAGAGAAAATATGAAGGTGTGTCATGCAGTGTTGAATGTTGAGACGGGGACGCCGTTTGTGGAGATACATGCTGTATTTACCTGCAAACATTTCTGTTTTGCTTTGGCTGAAAAGTTGCTTAAATCGTTTAGATCTCACCTTACTGACTGTAACTTTAGCCGACTGTAGCTCACTTAGAGAGGTCCTAGAGATCCCGTCTGTGAGAGCAGCACACTGATCTCGGCTCTTGGTTCAGGAACCAACGCTAGCTAGCAGCTTTTGGCAGGTAACACGAACGCTGCAGATAAATCAATTTCTGTCCAGTCTGTGTTCACACTAAACAATTTGGACATAGTTGAACACTAACTCCACAATGCATCAGAACAGACCAAACTATCTAATGTGCAGATCTGAATCACGCAGAAGCAGAGTCGGTGAGCAAATCAATACTGAATGACCTGGAAGATGATGAAGGCAAATTGTGGCTGTGTAACTCATCCATCCATAAGGGCCAGCTGTTCCTGCGTTTCCCGAACACAGGCAGAGTCTACAGGTTATCTGAATACCACTGAATCATGATGAAGGAAATCCACTGGAGCTTACTGTGCCACACTTGATGTTAAGCATTAAGGGGAAAAATGTGAAAGATGTTAATATGAGATCGACTGTAACAGTGATCGGGGAAGTCCCCTGCCTCTCTGCCAGTAATATAATTAGATTTAAATAACCTTAATGGTGGCTGCACACAGAAGGAGTGTTAGTCCACCCCATATAAAAATGTATTTTATTAAGTTCGCTGGGTAACATCTGTGCCAGCAGCTGTTGTTTCAAAAACCACTAGTGGAGCTTTTAGGCTCTAACATTTTCACATTTACTGTATGTCAGTAACACACTAAACCTATCAAAGCCCAATTATAGTGGGCCACGGTGACTGATTGTTCAAGATCACAGATACTCTGTCCTGTCTCAGGTAACCATGGACACACCGTGCACGTTAGCTTCAAATTAAAAACTTTCCATCCAACGTGATCCTGCAGGCTGAAGCGGATGACCGCAGAAATATTAACACCTACTCATTAAAAGGTGTGATGTAACTCCTTTCAAAACCTCTGCAAGGTGAATGCAGTAAGTTACTACAGAGATCAATGTATGTAGGGATTTCCTAAATGTTATTCTACAACAGAGGCAGGTTTGGAGGATGTTAAGGCTCCATGACTCTATCAGGCTTGTTCTCCTCACTTTATGTAGAAACCAGTTGTTTATCAGTTGAATTTACTTTGCATCTAGTTTATTGCCTCACTAGGAACCTCATGGCCAGATCATACGTTTTAGTTCATAATGCTGAATAGCCTTATTTTTATGACAATGAATCACTGTTTGCAGTATTTTATTTCTAGATCTAGAAAAACAAAAAGAATTTGTATTATTTTACTCAGAACATGTGTGGGGGGGATAAATATTTATTTTTGATGGGAACCAGCTACTCCTCGACTTCAGAAACTTCATCAACATGAATCTGGAATCTAGAAATCAGTGTTTGAAAAGATACATTTCTTCAAGTTGTGCAAAAAATAAATAGGGTATAACTAGAAGCAAGAGAAGATGCACAGTACAGAGAGACAGACCTTGGCTGTTTTGACATTTTGATGCTGAAAACTAAAGAATACAATGAAAAAACTGTGTCTGGCGAGACTTGAAGTCTTACCACGTTATATTATGGAAAGTTTAAAAACAGGGAGAGGTTCCCAGAATGGACACGTCTCTCAAAAAGACACTGAAATTACCTGATAATAGTTTGCTCATTTTCAGTCTCAGCTATCAGTATTAAGCCTAGAAACCCTCCCTCGGCACAGCCCTTGATAAGCACATAAAATAAAATCCCATTAGTTATAAAGTGCTTGCAGATCACACTAGTTTTCTAGAGGTTAATTATGTTGGTAACGATTGGATAATCACTAGGTGCATCTAACGGGCTGCTTGCTATTGGTGCCATCATTCCCTGGTGAAATGTTTTTAGTGTGTCCCATAAAATGGCTTGAACATCCTGGGTGTTAGATGAGTACATGAGGGCAACTGCTGAATTTGTCAGAATGATGTCCTAGGGGTGCAGAATTTCTCCACAGGGCTCTAGGTGAGAGAACGGTCACTAAAGGCTGCTGCCAAACTAGTTAGAGGGAAGAGAGGCAAGGAGGCATAGGACGACACGGGAGGGTGTGGGGGTATAGCATGCACCATAAACTTGACACGGCGCAGAATGCAGGTTGGCTCATCCAATAATCCAGCGCTGACTTGCCACTGAGAAGCAGCTGATTACCTAAACGCTGTCCTTGACACAGTCTCTCCACTTGTCACCTCTCCCTCCATCCTCCGTCACCCCTCCCACTCACTCCCCCGTTCTCTTTCACCAGACTCGACTCAAAAAAGTGCAAAGTTAAGAAGACTGTGGAAACATTTCAAAGGAAAGAGGCCACCAAATCACAAAAATCAAGTAAACAGGAACACTGGGAATAACTGGGGTGTGAAATGTAATTAGTGGTCTCCGTGGTGACGCACTATAGCCTTGATGATGGTGCATTGGGTTACATGATTTTTATGCATCACATCCCTGAAGCCTTGTGCTTTTAACCATTTTAAACAGCTTAAGCGATAGCTTGCATACAAATAGCTCCCTGTATGACCAACACCAGGGCCCCAGGGTGACTACAGCAAGGTAATGGACTTGTCTTGCTATACTTATATGGCTCTCCGAGAACACACGCAAACACACGTGCATATTGACAGATGAGATGGACTACGTGATGTGCTAAACAGTTCACACAAATGCAAAAAACATAAATCACATTAGGCTTTTCTTTGGTTTGTTGCTGCTGTCTGGCAAGAACAGATAGCAGGGTTTTTAATTGATTGGTTGTGGCCACACACACACCACCTGAGCCAAAAACTTGAGTGATTCATTAACATCATGGAAGAAGGATGTTAACGGACTCAAATTAGTTGTTTAGCTTACATTTTGGCCAACAATTTGGAATACCTTAAAATACTCTACGGTACCTCGTTGCACTGTGGCATGAATTTGCTATTGTAGTATCTCCACACAGTGCTGATGTCTAAAACCACCCTCTATCAAATTCTTAACATAGTTAAAATTAAGTGTTGTGCCCCTTTATGGACAAACACAGCACAGGGCTGAATGCAGCAGTCGGAGTACGTTCCAGTTGTCTGTGGCTTTTGATTAAGGGCATTAGGGTCAGCAGAGCCAACAGTATAAGCAGAGAGCAAACACAACTCTCGGCGCTGTAGATCACAGCAGAGAGGTCCCCCAGTCACAGACACAATAAAAAAAAAAGTGCTGTTGTGGTGTTATGATCGCTGCAGATAGCATTGTTTACCTTTCTAGTGTAGGATATTACAAATAGTGAAATTACACTGTTATGGGCAACATATATTTAGTTAACTGCTATCAAGATGTTTATCAGAGTGAGGGTGATCCTAACACTGCTGCGTTACATGTTTAGATAAGGGAGAACTGGGAGGATGGGTGTCCTGCTCAGTGTCTTCTCGGCACAGTGAGGAACACTTAGTTACTAATTCAGTTTCAAGGCCTTTCCAAATATCAGTGCTTCATTGCACATGCAGTAAGATGCCAGTGGTGGGATTTAAATTAAAATGTTGAAGGGAAATAACACAATGAAGCTGAAGCAGAGATGGTTTCTCTTATTTTCACTGGGTAGCAAAATGGAATTTGATCAATTTGATCCATAACATTGCTGCCCGTCTAATTATTTTACTGTGCATGTACAGTAAAGTGAACCAGTGCATTGATAGCCCCCTCTAGTGAACATGGAGGCATCGGCTGTGCAGCAGGATTGAGAGCAGACCTGGGTCACAGTTATGAATAACTAACTGTGCATGAAGCAGGAGCAGGGCAGGTTTTCCACAGGAACGTTTGCAAGTATAGGAAAGTATCAGAGTATACTGTAGATCTATTGCTGCAGTTGGACAACTGTAACTGAGCAAACTCATCTGTTATGCAAAGAATACCTGGTTGCAAATATGATCTGACCAAGGTGAATATGGGGGATTAAGCAGTGTTTCTGTGCTACAGTTTGAAGTGATACAGAGTGCATACTTCTGTGACTCCCTTACAAGGATATGACACTAGATACCAGCACCTTGCTTCACTGGAAACAACAGTTTATAATTAGCTCTCTTCACAGTCTAGATTGAGATGTGTCTTTCCATTTGAGCCCAGAGAGTGAAAAGAGCTAATTCACCTGTAGGTCAGAGCGTCATATTCGTGCTGTGACGGGATGGCCAGAACGACTGAGCCAGCTACAGGTGGCTAAACAATGCCACACTTTTCACCATCTACTCTCGGCCATAACCGTGTACAATCTAAGCTCAGTTCATTAGTTTTGTGGGTTGAAGCAGCTGGCAGTGATGTAACGACAGAAGCAACTTCCCTTAACATTCCTGGTGCGCCCTCCCTCCCTCTCTCCAAACAATAGTGGAGATAACTTGGACAGACCTTATTTTGTAGATGCATGACACTGATATTGTAATTCAAGTTCAGTTATTTTAGATGTGGGGAAATGCAGCAGATTTCACTCATGATTACTTATCAAGAAATGCTAATGCCACACAAGTTGGATCCCACGGCCCACACGACATTAATTTACACCGAAGATAATTTAACTCAGACCTGTAAAAGTTTGATTAGTCTGAATTATCGCGAAACCTGTGTGAAATGAGTCACAGCAATAAGCTTGAGTGTTGTGTCACTGTGAGAGTCTCCAGGCTTCAGATGAGGTGAGGGGGGTGTCACGCTGATTCTTACCGTCGGGGTTGGCACAGATGAACACTCGGATGCTGCGGCCGGTGGGGACGTGGTGCGGCGGCAGTGCGTTGATGTTGCCGCTGATGGCTGACCTGCGCAGCGCTGACTCCCGCGGGCAGGGCTGCCTGCTCCCCACTCCGGACGGCCACATGGGGGGCGACTTCCAGCGTGGCTGTTACACACGCACAGAAGGGGCATGTTAGCGCGGCCAGGGGCGCACACGCAGGCACATGAACAGACGTGCATGTTTGCGCGCAGATTCCCCTGATCCATCCACACACATGGGGCGTTAATAATGGCAATGTCACGGAGCTGCGTCTAAAAGGTTTTCAATTTGCAACTAACTTAAGGCACATTTACAGGCACCGACGTGACTTCAGGGGACAAAATGATGTTCAGTACTTGTAATATTTCAATACTTGGTTCAAAATACTTCCTCTCATTTTGACATTTAGCCACTTAGAAAGAAAAAACAACAACTATAAAATCTAGGATACAAATGAATATTTAACTCCAGGCTTAAGAGTCCCAATAGTCTACCTTGCCATACTCATAATGCCCATGCGTCACACACATACACACACCAGTCAAGTTAGAATGGATCTATCAAATCTTCTCCAAACACAGGAATGAAGCTGGATGTGTTTGTTATTGCATTCATGTGGTAGGGATATAATAATAGGATATTACGCACAGCCTACTACCGTCATGGTGCATGCGTAATTGGACGTATTCATGAATTTTCATGCCACTGTGGGACAAACAGACAAACAACGAGACGATACAAAACTCGAATAGACGAGCATGGCAAGCATCAGTCGTATTCCCACCCCAGAGAAGATGCTTGTAAAGGCGAATAACCGCTAGCAATGGTTATTCCGCCAGGAGCTGGTGTCAAGTCGCTGGTTTTCCGGAGTTGGTCTATCCTGAAATCTTTGTTTCAAAGACGGAAAACCTCGAAAAAGACAACAAAAAGCGGGGAAAAGTTGGGTAGTCCACTACTGAACACTACATAAAATCCTCTGAAAATAGAGAACTAAAAATCACTGAGGCACCGCATCCACAGAGAGGACTCGTGATGCTGGAGACAGGCACAACAACAGTACACTTCTTGTTGCTCACATTCATTCGCTTCATTTTGTGGCTTCCGAAAATATCCAAGCGTCGTGCACGGTAAAAGGAAGGTAAAAACGCCCATCAGAGTTGCCGTGGCCGAGCGACGACGTCAGGGGACGGTAGGACGGACGCCGTGTGTCATGCTGCCCTTGGCATCCTGCTGCCTCTACCAGCTGACCGAGCTCTGAGAGATGGAGAGAGTGAAGCTCGGCACAATACAGGCGCGACTACCGGCTGATTATTTTCAAAATAAAACTGCAGTTTGCGTAGCCGCACTTATCCATGACTCTAGAAAAACAATGAATGGGATAGCTTATATTTCAAAACCATCTCTTGTTACAAATACAGAGACATCGGCGCACACACTGGTTCAAGTGGAAGAACTTTTGGATCCTTACTCACCTCCCCAGACGCTAAATACGCTTTCACGTTGAAAGTGAAAGATTTAAGTCCAGTCCCGCTCCAGCTTGTAATGTCTCGCTTTACGGCGGTGCCAGAGACACTGGGTGCTCTTTGTCTCCTGTCTCCTTTGTGCTCTCCAGTGGATAGAGTGGTGCTCACCCAGTCCCCATTAAAATTACACTGGACCGCAAAGTCAGCAATGTGGCGTCGTAAATGACGTAGGTTACTGTTTAACCAGCCACGAATGTAACGTAACATCAGCGCAGTTACTCTTCCAAAGACGACGTACTTTTGCTTTCCAGCCAATGAACACAGAAAATGACCAGAAAGACTCAAAACAATAACAAAAACAGGAAAGACACGTTTAATGCGTATCACACAGTCACAAAAACAATCAGACATAAAATGATTACATAATTTACAAACATAAAGATGCTGAATGACCAAAAAGAACTCAAAACAGCTACAAAGAGACTCAAATCAGCTAGGAGTAGCTGCAGGACAACTACTAAAGAGTCACAAAATACTACAGTGACACACAATACACTTACAAAGAGACTCAAAATGACTTCAATTAGAGAAAAAATGGCCACCACTGTGCTGGTTGTAGTTGGGTTGCATTGTAGGAGGGGTGGGGGGCCTTTACTTCCTTTTACCCAGGGGCCCATATTCTCTTAATCTGTCCGTGTTTGTAACAGCCTGCTGCTCCAACAGAGTGTTTGAGTAGAAACTTGTTAAGTTGCTATTGTGTAATGCATTACATTTTTGAGTAACAATTACCGGAGAGTCCTTCCCACTGCTAGGGAGCATCAGGATCCAGGGAAAGGAGGGGTTTAAATTAATTGCTTTATCGATAAATGTACCTCTGTTCTGCAGCCTCTGGTTATTCGTGGTGGAAGTTTTAAGTGCATTGGATTTGTACTAAACGGAATTGATTACTGTGCTGTTCTTGTGAGGGGAAACGCTGAACCATATATATCCCCCCTCTCAGTCTCAGTGTTGCAGGCAGCAGCAAGCATTCCTCTGAATTTGATGATGAGTCTGTTGCCTGAGCTTTAAGTTCAGCCTCTGCACTAATGCTTTTAACTTATGATCTCTAAAACTAGAATCAGGCCTACAGATGCATAAGGTTGTTGGCTAATAATCCATATAATTTTTAGTGTTGTACTGAAGACAATACAGCTCTTTACACCACTCGGGCAGAGCAGTGCCTGGCAGGACTCCCCATAAGGCTAAAGGAGAGAGACTGTTGGTGGGGTATCCCAGAATGCCCCTCTGGGCGGGAGGTACAGTATATAGTTTGGACTTGGTGCAACTTGTTAGTGTTTGTTTGGTGTGTTCTGTTGTTGCTGTGTGTGTGTTAAAAAGCAGCTCCCTTGAGGGTAGAAAAGGCAGTTTTGGTGTCCAGGTCCTCCTTCTAGCCCAGCTGACATTACATTGGTGTCAGAAGCGGGATCTCCAGAGACGACGACATTGCTTCAGCAGATCAACAAACTTGTTGCCTGACTGTAAGGAGCAGTGATGCTGCAGCCCAGAACAGATGTCCTGACAGCCCTGTCAGTATTGCCTACCACCCTTCTCTCAGTGAGAGTCCACCAAAACAAGGCCACTGATGGAGACGGCGAGGCCCGTCAGGCAGGACGGAGGAGCCGAACCTGAGCACAAGCACCAGAGCTTTGACCAGACCACAGCATGGAGCCAGGGGCTGACTGACGAGGGGTGCTGAAGCTGCCATGCTACACTGGGGAAGAGCCGCTTGAGATGTACCTCATACAAGTGCAAGTAGCAGCCTGGTTTAACGTCTGGTCAACAGAGAAGATAGCTACCCAGCCTGAGGAACAACTCGACTGGCTAGCCATCGAGAGAGCACTGCAGTACACTGGCTGATGCGCCTACACTGATAATGCCTAGATTAAGGTGCACAGCCAACAGAGTGGAGAAGGGGAGAGTCTGGGCGCCTATGCCACTGGCATCCACCTCTGTTCTTCATGTGGACATCTAGCCTTGGACATCTTGGCACAGGAAAAGCTTGCTCTCCAGGCCTTTGTCCAAGACTCTGTCCAGAGTGACTGCTTATTACATTAATACAGTATTTATGTAAATGTTTTTTCACATATCCTCCTTTGACAAATGCATATTTAATAGATCCAAAACATTTTACATACATAATGCAATAAGGTATCATGGACATAGTCATTGTTTGAAAACAAACAATTTATCTCATTGATCCAACTTGATAAATACCTCAATCATACGTGACCTCTAAGTGATGCAAGTGGCTAAAAGTTTTATCTTTACCCAAATACACCACATTTTCAAATCTTATTCCACAGTCATCTTATTCCTGGCATATAAAGTCTAGAAGACACATTACCATCACTACAAATGCTAATCGTACTATATTATTTACGTAAGATAAAACAATTGAGCACTAGAAGACTTACTGTTCTGCTGCAGGTCTTGGGAATGATTCTAAGGCTCTGCAGGTTCACACTGGCCCATTTAAGGCAAGCCTGCAGGGCCACCAGCTCACATCAGAACAAAATTCAGACTCCGGAAAAGCTCAAGTGGCCCACCGGGGCCTAGAGCCTTGTTCCCAGTGGGTTTGACCTTTCTCTACTTGATTGTTCCATTCCCTCTTATAATCCCCAGTCAGTAAATCATGAGTGCACCTGCACTGGATTAATGCACTGCACTTTTATTAAAGGATGCACTTTACACAGCTTGATGGCGTGAAGTGATGTGGCAGGTGAAAAGTGTTTTTGTATGTGTGTGAGAAGGAGAATGTTTGGGACATGTCTATGGCATGTCCAGGTCTGCCCCTTTAAGCCATTTAGCATCTCTACCCAGTTTGGTTCCCTTAAATGTTAGTATCTGAGCGTGTGAGTGCATTCAAGCATGTCTACAGTAATTGCAAGTTGTTGGGTTTATTTGCATGCATGTGTATGTGCTTGTGAGTCACTGCGGTGACAAAATGTGCCACCTGGGAGAGACAGATACAAGTGTCCACACACACAGCTGTGTTTTCATTCTTTGTAGGGACTTTACATTGACTTACATTCATTTCCTATAGGCTTATCCTAACCTTAACCATAACCACCACTCGCCTAATACTTAACCTAACCTCGCCCTAACCTTAAACCATGTTTCCACCCTAAAACCAGTGAGTTACATGGTGGGGACCGGCCTCTGGTCCCCACAAGGAAGGCCACACACAGCAACTTCACAAATGACTGGTGATGGATGGTTGTTCCTACAAAACAGCTGGAAAGAAACAGGAGTGGGAGACAGAGAAGACAGCTGGGAGTGACTATTTCTGTGTGCTACCCACTGGCCCCACTACATTAACTCCTTCCATGAAATGTTCACTCTCAATTGGATTTTTTTAGTTAGCTGACTCAGTGAGCAAGGGCATTCGACTACACATGGCCATATGCTTTTGGGATTTAAATCACTGATGGGAAATCTTAACTTGGACAAAATCCCAGTTGTGTTATTCATGTTTTCTATTAGAGCAAGTCAGTGGATTAGTTGCAAATTTGTGTGTTAATTTCCCCTGAAATCTTCCTGCCCTATAATCACAATAGAAATATTAAAAAGTGTCAGTGAAAAGGTCAAGAACAATGTGAGATACTGAGAAATGTTAACATGTGCTGGCAATGACAGACCCTCTGCATGCAACTGATTTATGGAAACTCATGCAGATGTTTTGGAGATTTTTTGGCACTTCCTTCAGCATGTCCTTGAATTTTAACCAGCTCCTGGGACAGCGAGCACACATGTGTGGCCATGCACTGTGGTCCCACTTGACTGTTTTCCTGAAGTGTTCATTTCCATAGAGCATTGAATGAATTTGTATTGGCTGTAACATCTCAGGTCACTCTGAACTATTGTTACCCTGACACCTTTACATCTTCATCTTATTTGCTTAAAAATGAAATTCATTTACATGTTTTTGGTTTGTCAGTAATGTATTTAGAATTAGGTAATTTTCTGATTTCCTGACTTCCATTTAAAGCTTGCAAGGAACAGATGTGTGGCACATTACAAATCATTAGGTGTATTCACGAGTGAAAAATCTACACAATCGATAAACAAGAGCAGCATGGTGCTAAAAATGATTTGGACACTTTGAGCATTAGGTATTTTTCTTTGAACACTTCTGACCACCTCACATAGCCTCCAGAAAATGTTTATGTTCACATATCCCATAACACTACTCTCATAATAAAGCCCAGGAGCTACCCAGGCTATAACTGAATAAAAACCTGGCAGTGCTGGCTTAGGGAGACATAATCCGGCTATTAGCCAAGACAGGACTCCAGTCAGAGTGCTACAACAGTTCCCCTCCACTCGTTCACCCACAAAACACAAAATAAAGAGGTGACAGGCAACGTTCAACTGCCCATTTGGGATCAGTGGAAACACAGACCGGGTTGGGGGGGGGGTTTGCCATGATGCTCTGAGTTTCTCTCCTCTCCTCCCCACACTAGGCAGAGTGGGTCCACAGTGGGCTCCGGTGCTGTGGGCCCACTCTGCCTAGCTCAGTGTGGGGAGCCCACAGTTAGCTCACACTTTAGGCTGGGTGTGGGCTGGCCCACCTGGGGCCTCCATGGGTCCCACAGTGTGGGGCTCACATGGACACAAACACACACACGCACACACACACACACACACACACACACACGTACTAGCAGCGCCGTGAGGCTGTACATAGGCACAGCAGTGCTTCCAAAATCATGAATGTTAGCAAGCTTATGTCAGCAGCTAAT